TATAAATTAAAATGATAGTCATATATTTGTATATTTATATTCAAAGCTATCAGTTACTTTTCGCCATCTCTCTGGATCTTTCTGTGAGCTGACTCCATCGGAATTCAAACGGTCAGCTATTTCTTGCCACAATTTCTGGCGATCTTTTACGGTAAAGGAAGCATCTAACTTCCCTGACATTAATTTAGGGTTTATTCCATAAAATTAACAAGCATCTCAAACTGGCAACTTGTAGTTTGCTAGATTCGTCCTTTCTTTGACATTTTAAAGCAAAACTATTTCACTAGAGCTAGTATGCGACAATGCTAAAACCATGTGCTTCACTTGAAAATGGTGGGTTGCAGTTGCATGACAAAAATACAATGTTAACTAAACAGTGATTGGTTAAAACATAATAGCTATCAATAGCGTGGAACCCAGACACATCTCGAATGACTACCCATAGCAAAACCCACTTAACGTGGAGCACAGAATAGCGATTTGTCTAAGGTTCGTTAACTGCCTTTCGCTAAGGTGACTTATTGAATGTCCCACGTATCGCTCTTGTTAAGTTACCGGAAGAGCTCAGAATGGGTCCCCAGGTAGGTAGGTACTTCTTATGAACTGAGTGGCTTACCAGATTATAGGACTACAAGGAATAAGTGCCCTTTTACTTGATGTCCCTAATGCAGTTTTAGTAAGTTTACAATATAACACATTTACTTAGTGTCCTATTGCATTTTCTGCTAGTATTTCGCATGGCATTTAAAATTTTTGTTGTGAAAACGTCTTAGCAATTGTATCGCCAGTTTTCTAGAATAAAAGGGGTGATCCATCTTCCACATATTCACTGTAGACTTACAATTTATTTGCAAGGTAAGCATTCATAATCATATTGATGGTTACTTATCTGCCCATATAATCTACTAGTTACTTTAGTACTATGACAAAGTTTGAATATAAAATTATAAAGTTTTTTGAAACAGATCTATTATCATGGAATTTTAATTGACACAGAAAGGAAATCAAGTTCTACTATACCAAGTATAGGGAAAATAGGGATAGAGTGATTACCTGGAGTCTACTTTGCCATCAAATGCAAGGCATTCTTGAAGACACAGGAAGATAATATCATTGGAGAGGTCCCACAACACTGCCATGATTCTAATCCTCAACAAGCACAGGCAAACATTTTAAAGACTACGATGAAGCAAGACGTGAAGGCAGTTGGTGCAACTCCGAGAAATGTTATGGGAAATATTTTACCAGAAGTAAATAGAAATGTTTTAGAACACTGACAAAAGCAATCCTCATTCATACAAAGTCTTTCTAAACCTTAAAGAAATTATTTGTTTTATAAGCACAATGTAGCATAATAACGATCACTTGGCATGGTTCATTTCTTTATTTCAACGAAAATTGAAATAAAGAAATGAATCATGCCAAGTAATCGCTATTATGCTACACTGTACTTATAAAACAAATAAAAAATACAACACGGTTTCAAAATATGGAAGAATGGTTAAAGAAGCTGCTTATATTTCTAATCCAGCTACAACTGATTTTCCTATCCCAGAGAAGCATGCTGACCTCATTTTGTATATGAGAGCTGATGACCCAGAAAGAATACAGTAGAGCATCGTTTATCCGAAAGCCGGTCAACCGAAAGCATTCCAATCGGCAAATTTAAATTTCCGCTAGTGCTGTGGCACTGCAACCTTTGGCTATGTCTTGGGCTACTCCAATATTTTTTTGTTGGTGTGTTTTAGCTGGCAGCACTGGCACTTTTGTGTGGTGTTTTTCTGAGGACTGTGTGTCATGCTGAATCAAACGTTTTTTATATTAGATTAACTTCTAAAGTATAAGTTTTTTTGTTTTTATATTTTTCAATATATTTATTTTGTTTGTACAAAATAATGAATTAATTTTTAACAATACAATAGCCACGATTACTATTATAAAAATTTTCGTTAGGCTTAACATTGACGAAAATTGAACGTGAAGCGACATGCAACAGAGATAAATTTCAATGTGGGATAGGTTAATATATTTTTTCGTATGTAATCGGTTATCCGAAAAATAAGTTATCCAAACAACCGCAGTCCCCAATTGATTTGGATAAAGAACGCTCTACTGTATTGGCAATTGGAAATGATGATCTGCTCTCAGAATTAGACAAGGATGTCACTTATGGAGACAGAACATTTGATAAAGCACCTAGCATGTTTTATCAGCTGTATCCATGGCATGCTAAAATTGGCAATTCATATACACCATGTATTTATTTTCTTTTGCAAAAAAATAATATGAATACATATAACAGAATGCTTCCATGTTGCAACAATTGCTGCCCAATATAACACCACAAAAGATTCTGCTGGAGTTTGAAAAAGCATGTATGTCTGCTGCTCAAGTTGCTTTTCCACAGCAGAAGTAAAATAATGCTGCTTTTACCTTTGCCAGTGTTATTAGGGAGTTCAACAGTGTTGGCTTAAAGGAACTGTAATAGTCTGATATTAACATAAAGCTGTAACTGAAGTCCCTACATGCTCTCTCCTTTGTACCAATACCAGATGTAATTACTGTCTTTCACCAACAAGCTGCCACATTTCCAGATGAGGCCAACTACAGTAAAGTCCTCACATATTTCTTCTCAACCTACATCAAAGGAGTTGAAGGAAGATCACCTCTCTTTCCAATTAGAATATGGAATCATTTTGATGTTGCTGCTGAGAGATGTCCTATAACTACAAATTGTTATGAAGGTTTTCACAATGTCTTAAACCCATTGTTTCATTGTAGTCACCCAAGCATTTGGAACCTATTAGCTGAATTAAGATGAGATATAGCTTGCCAGCAATTATTATTAGCCAATGCCCATATAGGTCATCCAGAAGTCAGAAAAAAGATATATGTGCCCTTAGTAATCAAGTGGCAATAGCTGTGCAAGAATAACAAAATTAAGAAGATAAATTGAGGTTTTTATGCTGAATGGCCAACCTACAATGATTAATTATATACAGTAGAGCATTGATTATCCAAATCAATTGGGGACTGGGGTTGTTCGAAAAATCAATTTTTCAGATAACCGATTATGTACGAAAAAATATATTAACCTATCTCATGTTGAAATTCCTTCAAATCCTGGCACGTCCTTAAGTACCCTCTCATGGTCACACCAGTGCTGCCAGCTAAAATACACATCCAACAAAAATAATATTGGAGTCGCCCAAGACATAGCCAAAGATTGCAGCACCACAGCACTAGTGGAAATTTAAATTTGCTGACTAGAAAGCTTTCGGTTAATTGATGTTTCAGTTGATCGATATTCGGATAATTGATGCTCTACCGTATGTATTATTTATATATTTCTTTTATATTTTGTTTTATATAGCTATTTCATTAATAAATAGACATGACATTTAAATAATTCCACAAAACTTTCAAAAACAACAACACAATAATATATTTCAAATAAATACATTGAGACAATAGATATGACAAATACAAATGTTATATTTTTCCCCTGTTCTGTTTATTCTGATTACCAATTCAAAACATTACTGGATGTATTCTAAGTTTAAAATTTTATTTAATTTTTTTCTCTTTGGTTTCTCCTAGTTCACTTTTTTTATAATTGTATTTACAATAAATTTCTTCTAATAGAAAGGAAACAAAGAAAATGAGAAAAAAATATTTGTAATAGTATCTTCAAAACTACATGCTAATAAGCATTGTAATAAGTACAGATTTCATAAAAACTGCATAAACAAAGACATGGAAAGCTGTTTAAAATAGGAATCTGTTTCATATTCTCAAATACATTAGTTTACTCCTACTGGGATACAAAAGTTTTAACAAAACTACTTTTTAAATATACATCTAAGATGTTACTGATAACAAAATAAAACACATCTTTTAATGTAACATTTATTTTCCATAAAGTTGATTATTTAAACTTTAAAAGTTTTTTAAATAAATTTTAAAGTGAATTTGCATACATAAAGTAATTACTGTACTATATTTTCGTTGTCATTTCAGAGTTACAGAGTATACACCACAGCTGTGAAGTTGGTACAAAACACTTTGATTATGACTCCTTTACTTATATATCAATATAGGATATAAATAATAAATTGTTATCTGTGAAATAAGATATTTTACCATATATTATTTGTATTACAACTTAAATTTATTATGAATCACTTTGTCCATTTTTATCAACTGCAATAACTCAAGAATTGCTTATGACTCTGACTCAACAACACTGGTGTACACCCAGTGCAGATTTTATTTCAGTTCCAACAATTTTTTAAATTTGCAAGTTATATGTCGCCAAGAATTATCGCCATGAAAATGCAGTATGTGAATTTTTGAGAAATATACTCCAAGAAAATTATGTAACTCTAAAGTGGTTAATTGCCATAAAATATTATATTCATTCTTATTAAAGTAAAGTAAACAGTTGATTACAAAATTAAATTTTATTTAATGACAGTAAAAAAAACTTATATAATTTAATTTTAATAATTTTTACAATTATGTAAATACAGTAGAGCGTCGTTTATCCGAACCAATTGGGGACTGGAGTTGTTCGGATAACTTATTTTTCGGATAACCGATTATGTACGAAAAAATATATTAACTTATCCCGTGTTAAAATTTTTCTCCGTTGATAACTTATTTTTCGGATAACTGATTATGTACGAAAAAATATATTAACTTATCCCGTGTTGAAATTTTTATCCGTTGCGTATCATTTCGTGTTGAATTTTTGTCGATGTTAAGCCTAACGTAAACTTTTTAAAATAATAATCGTGGCTATTGTATCATTAAAAATGATTTCTTTATGTTTTACAAACAAAATAAATACATTTAAACATATAAAAACAAATAAAAATTATACTTTAGGCTGACTGGAATTCTTTCGGATAACTGACGTTTCGGATAAACGACGCTCTACTGTAAGATGATCACTTATTTTACAAAATCAATTTATATTTAAAATTAACTTTACTCACTTCTACTGTGACTCCATTTGCTGGATTCAGCAGTTCCCGAATTTCTTTGACCTCATCTTCAGCAATATTACTGAAGTCTAGAAACTCAAAACCCTGCAAATAAAAAATATTCTGTCAAATAATCTGAAGAAAATTACAAAACTCATATTATTATTATTTTAAAATGTTTGTTGTGTAAGAAGTTTGCATGTGCAGGAGCATAGTAATATATATAAATGGACATGTGTGTCCCTATATTTCACTTTTCAGCAAAAACTGCACATCGCACACAAATGGTGTTTGTATTTGGTAGTAGCCCCAAGTCTCCATTCGTGCACTATGGTGGTTGCGTCTCGATAGCTAGAAGGGTGCGGGAGATATGGGCTTGAAAGTGGTTGAAAGTGGAAGATTTTCTATTTTGATTTAAAAAATTTTTGAATTTAAATTCGAATTGGTTCGATTATAGAATGATTGTAAATGTTCCAGAAAATTGATCAAATTGAAAATAGTTCGTTTGACTGGACGTAAAAATTCTCTAATTAGTCTGGAAACGGGGGACCTAATTCTTGCATTCTGTGAAAACAGGTAAGATTGGCTATAATGTAATTATCTTAATCTTCACTATCGTTACTTTTTGCCCACAAATAAAAACCCAGCGAAGTGAGTCCTTGCAGCTATATTCTAGATTACTTAGAACAGTCTTTTATATATAAAAAACAAAAACTATATTACATACAAATGTACAAACAAATAAAAACCCAGCGAAGTGAGTCCTTGCAGCTATATTCTAGATTACTTAGAACAGTCTTTTATATATAAAAAACAAAAACTATATTACATACAAATGTACAAACAAATAAAAACCCAGTGAAGCGGGTCCTTGCAGCTAGTATAATATAAATTAAAACATAATGTTAAAAATAATTTAAATTTTCAATTCTCTAGCAACTCAAACTTAAGATTAATATCAACTAAATCAATCAATTCTACCATAAAATTACTACTACTGAAAATTAAAATAAAATGATAAACATTTCTGAAATTACACATATCTTTATCTATGAAGATTGTTTAATTTTTTTACATTGTTCAAAGTAGTCACCTCTGACTGACTGCTTTTATCAATATAAAATGAAACATTAACACACCCTAAATTTTTTAATATTTATTCTAAATCAGCACAAATCTAATCAACAGAAAAAACAATTCAAATTTGTTACATTATGACATATAATTAAAACTACAAATTAAAAATATTAAACTGTAAAGCACTGATAATAAAAAAATAAAACAATTAAAAACTAAGTAATTAAATAATTACAATCTAAAAAGAAACTTTCTAAACATTAACATCGAATTTTACAAAATTTTAATTAAAATTCCTTATTTTTCTTAATTAGAATAAGTCTTATAACATTATACAAACTCCAGAAGAAAATCTTTTAAAAATACAAATACTTTCAGTTATTGAAATAGTGACCCTGAGACATCAATAGGTTAGAGTAGTGCTTCTCAAAACTAGATGCTATGATATCTATTTAGCAGGCAATAAAACATTCAAATATATTTTAGACAATTTTTAAAGCCTTCAATTTAAATACAAAATAATCACAATAAAAAGAAAATTTGTTTCTTATAAATTAAATGCTAATTTTCCTTGACATTAATAAACAGTGTAATGTTAGGCAAACATTGACTGTATGTTGGCACTTCTTAATGGCTTAGAAAGTACACTACATAATCATTAAAAAAATAAAATCCATCCAATGAACAAAGTGATAATACATATAACCTTATACAGCTTTGCAGTTAATTTCTGAAGCATAATATTTTTGGTCCACCATAGGGCCTTCAAGTGGTGTTCTATTAAATATTTTTTTGGTGTGATCCGAGTTCAATTTAGCTTTCGATTCTAATTGTTCCAATTTCAAATGCTTCTATTTTCGAATTTATTTTATTTTTTATTTTAATTTAAAAAATGTGCACCTTCATTGGCTGTTATAGCACCAGGTCATACATAGCCTATCATACTCTGAAGAGTTGTTTTTCATCCTTAAAATTGATTGACAGGCCTTGGCAGTCTGCTTTAAAAATCTCTAATGCCTCCAGACTCCATAGTTGGTTTATATGACGAGTTTGCCGAATCATTGTCACTTGTTGTAGTTCAGGTGTAATGCCATTTTCATTAGCATATATAGCTAAGGTGGTAGTGCTTTTCCTCTTTTCAATATCCGTTTTGTGTTCATGGAGGTGTTGTTTGAGTGATCTTTTTGTAGATCTGAGTATATCAGATATGTTGATGATATTTTTATAATTTGGCGAGATAAATCCACCATTCTAGACTTCTTACAGGCAATCAACCACAATCCCTTCAGTCTAGTATTCTGTCTTAAACAGGGCAACGCCCACTCCGCTCAATTCCTGGACTAACAAACTGGGATGCCTGTCTACTCAGGTCTACGGGAAACCCACCCACTTCCATATCTTCATTCCAGCCTCATCTCACAATCCTTTCACTTTCAAAATGGCAGCTTTCACAGCCTTAATACAGAGAGCATTACCCATTCATCTAGCAAACAGGAAACAGAAAAGATTCCTACTATCACTCAATACGCCACCCAGCATGGCTACTCCCTGCACACTATTAGGGGACTAATCCACAATTTTCCAACACCACTTCCATCCAGCTAAATAAATCCTCTCAAGAAGAAACAAACTTCAAGACTGTCACCTACAAGTCCCTTGCCACATTTTACAAAAAAATTGCACAAGAAAACAATGTCATTTGGCATTCCATAGAAGTCCAGCTATTGCCTCTCACCTCCACAATGCCAAAGATCGTCCCAACAAGAACCACCTGCCAGGCATATACAGTATCACCATTATTGACCATCGTTACAACAGCCACATACAATACATAGGTGCTATGTCTCACCCGTTACATATCCATCTCAAAGAACATCAAACAGCTATCAAAGCCAGCTACGCTTCTGACCCAAGCATCCAGGTAATTTCCATCAGATGCACCTCTTACATAACAAATGTAAACTCCTTTTCCCCCCACCCTCCTCTCTTTTCATGTCATACACTCCTTCCGCTATACACATATTCAGCATCCATTGCATTCCATTTGAAAATATAGGAGTTGAAGAAGATCCATAACAGTGATCAAAAACATTAGTCCATATTCCATCAATAAAGTGCTTACTGGGATTTATTTTTTTATGGTTCCATAGTCCATTTTAAATTTTACTTTCATAGTTGTATTATGCATAGTAAAATTGCTAACGATCAGAAATAAATGGTCAAATGGCTATATGGCTAAGTTGTCAGATTACTGCTATGAAAAACCTGGAAAACAAATCCAAGCAGAATTTTCATGCCAAAGATTCCTGGAATTTGTTCCCAGGAATTTTTTGGGAATGGTATGTTCCAGATATGTCAGGTCCTGTCTATCTCCACCAGCTGCAACGTTATAAGCTTGGCCAAGCCAATCATGTGTTTTTTTTTTATTTAGACTCTGGGCACTAAGAGGGTCTAAAAAACCCTGTTAGTGCCCAAAGGATGGAAAGAGTAAAAAGAAATAATGGAAATGACTGTTTTCTTTGTAAATATAGTGAAATAGGTAAGTGAACTTTACAGGTATAACTTTGCATATATATATATTTATTTATTGACAAGTTTTAACTAGTGTTTTAACTTGTTATAAACTAAATTTTAAAAAAATTTATGATATCTTACATTTACAACAAATGTAACATAAATTATACTTCTAATTAAAAAGTCAATATCTATTTCAAAAATTAAAAACAATTCTAAATAAACATTTATCATGCTATAACTGTTGATAATACAATGTAAGTACAACATATTATAATTCTTTTGCATTTACTACATACGTTTTTGTTACTAAGTCAAACGAACTCCGTAATTAATTGGGCTATTAATATGCTATAATTACTAATTTGAAACTAGGTAATTTGGTACTAGAGGTAGATGTTGAGTGCCATCTCTTATCTAAATTAATAATTATAATAATTAAATTATTATAATTATACTCTTCTCAAAATGCACTTTCAAAAATAACTACACTTTACCAACCTTTAATATGTAGTCTATTGTATTTACATAATCTAACATTTTCAGTCAATGAATTGACCTTCATCAGAACCGAACAATTTTTCGATTTATGAAGAACAAAACCAATTATAAAATGTTTTTAAGTTTAATTAATTAATTAATTAAAAGTTTTCTCAATGCCTATTGCGCAAGTCTAAAAATAGATAAATAAAATCTACAGACTGAAAAAGTACAAATATATGCATACACTAATTATACACATAAAAAATTGATAAATTATATACACATAATTTATTTATTTTATTAAAGGTTGCGTATTAAAGGTTGGTAGAGTGTACTCATTATAACTATTAATTCAGATGACGTGGTGTTGGGTTATCGAATGTGCCAATTTATTAGATGATGGAATTATTTCAGGTTTTTTTTTTTTTCATTTCCCTGGACACAATTTTACATATCTTCGCATGTAAAACTGTACAAATCCATCTTTTATGATTGTTTAACACACAATTTCAATTTTTCCAAATTATTCGTGTCCTTTGTTGGTTTGAAACAAGAACATACAAATCTTACTTTGTGCTTTGTACACTTTTATCTATATCTACTCTATAACTATATTCTATATATTTTACATATTAAAAGCAAAATGTTCCATCAACACCAACCAAAAGTGAAAGCACAGTTTAAAAATAAGTGATATAAATAGACTCAACTGACAGCCTGGATGAAATATAACCAATTCAATCAGGACAGACAACTACTACTTAGCCACACTTTCCAAATTATTGTTTCAATTGATTTGATTTTAATTTTAATTAATTAATTATTTTTGATTTTATTTTTAATTTTTGTTTTTGTTTCAATTTCAGTATAAAGGCCAGTNTTTATTATTATTATTTTTATTTTTCTATTTAATACATTTTAAGTTGTTATTTCCGTGATGAAATACCAATACATCATTTAAACAATTCCTAACAAATTTACAAAAATTCGAGAAATAATCTTAGAAAAATAAGAATGAAACGAAAAATTGC